TGTTGCAGCATACAAGTTCTGCAAATGCAGTCTGTAGTCCTGAAATAAAGGATAGTTGTCCTTATAGTAATAGCCTTACTGTACAATCAAAACATGGTGATGTGTGGCATTCACGTTTAGGCCACTATTCCAAGTCTGTCATAAAATCCATGATGATTCAATTTCCATTCATTTCTTGTAAAAATTTGGATGATCCGTGTGATATCTGTCATTTGGCAAAACAAAAGAAGTTGTCATTTTCAAATAAATCTTCGAATTCAAATTCTGCTTTTGATATTGTACATATAGATATATGGGGGCCTTGTTCTGTCACTTCAATTCATGGATATCGATACCTCTTAACCATTGTTGATGATTATAGTCGTTATACTTGGGGGATCCTTATGAAATCGAAATCAGAAACACATGGTCATATTCAGGCATTTGTGGCTCTAATTGAAAATCAATTTAAGACTGTTGTAAAATGTTTTCGCAGTGATAATGGGCAAGAATTTTGTACGAATGAGTTTTTTGCTTCAAAAGGAATTCTCCATCAGACTTCTTGTGTTGAATCCCCTCAACAAAATGGGACTGTTGAAAGAAAGCATCAACATATTCTTAATGTTGCAAGAGCTCTCTTCTTTCAAAGCAATTTACCAAAAAGCCTGTGGTCATATTGCATTAGTCATGCCATTCATATCATAAATAGGATTTGCTCTACAACACTACAGAACAAGTCACCTTTTGAACTCTTAGACAGAGAACCACCTGCACTCATCCACTTAAGGACTTTCGGATGCTTGACATATGCATCTACATTGATAGCTGGTCGTTCCAAATTTGACCCAAGAGCTCGAAAATGTGTTTATCATGGTCACAAAGATGGTACAAAAGGATATATAGTCTATGAACTCCTGTCCAAGCAGATTCTGGTTTCCAGAAATGCTATCTTTTATTAGGAACATTTTCCTTTTTCTGTGGCAAACCAGTCCAAACAAGAATTCCCTTGGCCACTCACGGTTGATTCTTCTACACTATATGGTATTCCCCTACCACGAGAGCATGTAGAAATTGAACAATCAGTTCCTGATGTTGAGTGTCATGAAGCTATTTCAGATAATTCTTTGGATGATGACACAAATGTATCTTTAGATACTACATCAGTTCCTCCTCTTCCAAGGAGATCAACTCATATGAAGCAACAGCCTAAACATCTTCAGGCTTACCAATGCAACTTAATCACTGGATGTGATGTTACTTCACCTCATCAAAGCCATGGTACTTGTCTTTACCCTATCTCTTTTGCTATGTCTTATAATCGTGTTTCTGCTGCATATCCTACATTTTGCAATAATATCAGTTCCACAGTTGAGCCACACACATTTAAGCAGGCAGCTCAATCCATTGAATGGGTTGCTGCTATGAAGGAAGAAATTAATGCCCTCAACAGTAACAATACATGGACATTTGTGGATTTACCCAAAGGAAAGAAACCAATTGGTTCAAAATGGGTATTCAAAATAAAGCACAATTCAGAGGGGACAATTGCTCGCTACAAAGCAAAACTTGTAGCAAAAGGCTATAATCAGTTAGAAGGAGTTGATTATTTTCAAACCTTCTCACCAGTAGCCAAGCTCACCACCATCAGGCTTCTTCTAGCTATTGCAGCATCTCAAGACTGGTTTTTAGAGCAACTTGACATAAATAATGCCTTCCTACACGGTAATCTCACTCAGGATGTTTTCATGTCCATACCAGAAGGAGTTTCTGCACCTAATCCACAGCAAGTTTGCAAACTTCAGAAGTCCCTCTATGAACTTAAGCAAGCAAGTAGAGAATGGAACATGAGGCTGACAACAGAACTCATTTCATATACTCAATCAAGTACAGATCACTCTCTTTTCACCAAATCTGCTCATGATTCTTTTATTGCACTCCTAGTATATGTCGATGACATGGTCCTAGCTGGCAACAATATGATCGAGATTCAAAGGGTAAAACAACATCTTGATAAGCTTTTCAAGATCAAGGACTTAGGTCCACTACAATATTTCTTAGGATTTGAAATTGCTCGTTCCAAACGGGGAATAATCCTAAACCAGAGAAAGTATACACTTGAATTGTTGACTGATAGTGGTGTGATTGGAGCAAAACCAGTGTCCACTCCAATGGAAGCCACACTTCGTTTATCATAAAACCAAGGAGAGCCTTGTCATGATGCTGCATCCTACCGTCGCCTTGTTGGACGTCTCTTGTATCTAACAAACACCAGACCCGATGTTTCCTTCGCAGTACAGCAACTGAGCCAGTTTATAGCACAGCCAATGAAGTCCCAATTTGATGCTGCTCTTCGAGTGTTAAAATATCTCAAAGGATCTCCAGGGAAAGGACTTTTCTTTCCTTCTCGAAATTCATTTGTTCTCACTGGCTTCATAGATGCTGATTGGGCCACATGCCCAGATACACGTCGTTCTACTACAGGTTTCTGTGTATTTCTTGGATCGTCACTGATTTCTTGGAAATCTAAGAAGCAGACAACAATCAGCCGGTCATCGGCAGAGGCAAAGTATCGAGCTTTAGCAACTCTGACTTGTGAAGTACAATGGCTTACATATCTCCTTAATGATCTTTCTGTTCCAATTCATGGTCCAGTCAAGATATATTGTGACAATCAAGCAGCCATACATTTGGCCCACAATCCTACATTCCATGAAAGAAGCAAGCATATAGAACTTGACTGTCATCTTACCCGTGAGAAAATTGTACAAGGTTTGATTCATTTACTTCCAATTTCAACCAAGCAGCAACTTGCTGATACTTTCACAAAATCTCTTCATCCAACTCCATTTCAAGCTTTGCTGTCCAAGTTGGGACTTTATGATATTTACCTCCCAACTTGAGGGGGGTGTTAAGTATCAGTTAGAAAGTTGGTTAGTTAGTTAGAAGTAAATGTTTTATGTCACTCAGTTTTGGTTAGTTAGTTAGAAGTAAACGTTTTCTGTTTCTATTAAGTTCACACTATATATATGATGTGAACAGTGTAACTTAATTGATTGGATTCATTACCACTGAAATAAAAACATACACTTTCATGTTCTCTGCCTCCAACTGTAACAGTTATATTGGAGGTAGCTATCACACATCTAATATCATGAAGTATATTATTGATTACAATTTTGTTTGATATGAATCTTTTCTCATTGTGGTTTGTTTCATGGCAGGGGTATGGGATCAGTTTGGTTGATGCATGGAATGTTCAGAGCCAATGGAGGGTGCGCTTATGTTAAAAAACCAGATTTTCTATTAAAGACTGGTCCGAATAATGAGGTCTTCGATCCTAAAGCTAAGTTACCAGTGAAGATTACTTTGAAGGTAAGGGCTTTACGTCAATCAACTGCCTCATTCAAGTGTCTATAGTTTACTGCCAGCAAAGGTCATACTTTTCTTATTATTATGTGACTGTATAGTGTATATATGGGGGAATGATGGTATTATGATTTCAAGCATACACACTTTGATCAATACTCACCTCCTGACACTTAATGCAAGGGATCCTTATCATAGCAATATCTTTTCAATTCATAAGGGTAGTTGCTTCCTTGCACCCTTTGCATATGACACCTTCCTTTCTGTTCGTCTATTGCTAACAGAAAAGTGCTGAGAGGTGATGTGGTACTTAATTTTGTGGCCCAACGGATTCAATTGCTTTAGAGAGATGCAGTGTGAGAAATGCCTCACTTTCTGTTAGGACTAAGGATAGACGAATTTTGTTATAATATGGAAAGATTACAATCCAAAGTTGCTTTCTTAAAAGGCTGGATTTCAAGGTGGGAACCTAATTAAAAGATTTGATAAACAGAGGAGGATGGAATATGTCATTTACTTTCAGGCACGAGGTTAACAAGGGACTTAATAAACTCATAGACCCGGCTCCCTGAAAGGATAATTTTCATGGTTTCGGTGGCAAACATTTTGATGTAAATTTGAGTAGTCACATCACAAGAACAAAGAAATATCTATCATCTGTTATTTCGGAATTATAATGGGTTTTAACCATGAAAAGAATTAATCTTTATACAAGACATTCTTAGAGAATAATATAAATCATTAAAAAGGCCATCACCCAACACCTTAAGGTTATGGGTTGAAGTGGTTCTTTACATGGTATCAGAGCTTCAGTGACCATAAGGTCACGAGTTCGATTCTCACCGCCCCCACTTTCAAGTGGAATTAAAAAAAAAGCACAAGGTAAAACCAAAAACATCGGGCCTGTGCAATATCTACATTTCAAGCCCAAAGGGCTCTTGTGTGAGGGGGTGTGTTAGAGAATAATATAAATTATTAAAAAGGCCCTCACCCAACACCTTAAGGTTTTGGGTTGAAGTGGTTTTTTTACATGGTATTAGAGCTTCAGTGACCACAAGGTCACGAGTTCGATCCTCACCGCCCCTCACTTTCAAGTGGAATTAAAAAAGAAGCACAAAGTAAAACCAAAAATATTGGGCTTGTGCAATATCCACATTTCAAGCCCAAAGGGCTCTTGTGTGAGGGGGTGTGTTAGAGAATAATATAAATCGTTAAAAAGGCCCTCACCCAATCCCTTAAGCTTTTGGGTTGAATTGGTACTTTACATGGTATCAAAACCTCGTGTCCTGGGTTCGATCCTCATCGCCCCCCACTTTCTTTCAAGTGAAATTTCTTTGTTCGCACAGGTAGGTGGGCCTATGCATTGTCCACCCTTCAAGCCCAGTGAGTTCTCATGTGAGGGGGCGTGTTGAAATATATAAAACCATGAATATAACCTCATCTAATAGCTTAAGCTTTTGGGTTAAATTGGTTCTTTAAAGACACGATCAAACTCTCACCACACTTGATAACTTGGTAGAAAATTCCACAGAAACATCATGCACAAAGTTAGTCTTAAACAGTAATTCAATATGTATTACATTGACCTCAGAATTCTTCAAGTCATGTTCAGACTCAATACTTAAAAAAACCAGGGTAGCTGTTTTGATCTCTCTTGTCTTGATTGTTCTTCAATATCATAACCGTTTCTAATTCCACTTTGACACCCTGAGGTTGAATGTGGCACATGGACAAGATCTATTATGCCTCCACTTAATTCTTCTCTAGTTGCATGACTGCTATGATGGGTCCTGCATTTTGTCTTGTTTATAAGGTTGGGTCCAGTAGAAGAAGACAAGCTATATCCTGAATATGAAGTTAGTGGTGTTTCGACTTACTAACTGTTGTAACTTGAATGGCCTAGTGTCAGCTCAATCTCGGTCTCATTTATGATCTCTAGATTTCCATCGCAGTCTGATTCTGCAATGTCCTCCCTAGCAGGATTTTCCAAATCAATGTTCATTTTAGGATTTTTCTGTGCACCTTTTTTATGACCACCTTGAGTTAAACTAATTGCATTCTTGAATTTACCAAAAATTGCATTCTTAAAGCTCCATCCTCGTTGGTTTACATCAATACCTCTGCTGGCTTCCATATTTTTCATCAGTATAATCTGAATCCTGTACAAACGGTGAAGTTCGTATACCTGTAAAAAAATACTCAGGGTACTTAGGCTCTATTGACGTTGATTAAGGACAAATAACCCAAAGGAACTGAGAGAAGTAGTACCTGCTCTTTGAAAGTTTCTTCGTGTTTTAGCATGGCCATCCTCATGTATTCTTTGTTGCAAGGCCTAATAAGCTTCTCCATCGGAGACCTGTTTAGCTTCTGCATAAAGTTAACTCCATTTGTTGGAAATTTGTATTTAGACATGTATTTTTATGGTACCACTCCCCCTTCAAATCACTTATCATTGTTAAGCTGAAATGAGGAAAATTCTAATTTAGTAGGGATTTGATCGACGAATTATTGTTTATGTAAAAAATAGGTTGGTTCGACTGAAGTAATGCTATAATGGCCTTGAAGCCTAATCCAAAATGATGAATCCAACTTCCTTTTAGCATAATTTGTCTGTTCCTTCCTTCTCTACCAGGAATTGCGACTCTCATTGCTGCAATATTTAAATTCATCTTCAAAACAATATTTTCTCTTCTTTTCATTTACCCAATTTAAAAATGCTTAGTGTAATATCAGTAGTGTTGGGACCATACAGAGACTCATTAGCTTTTTAGTACCTGCACTTCCTCTCTCTCTCTCTCTCTCTCTCTCTCTCTCTCTCTCTCTCTCTCTCTCATTTATCATGATATCTGCCACCATAATTAATTTCCTTTTTCGGTTCATACTTGAATTTTTCCTTTGTTAAACCTTCTCTAGACAAGTAGCTTCTATTACTACAGAAATTTAAAGGAATTATGGCAATTCTTTGGTGTAACAATTGAACTTTTCAGCATCAATTAAGGTTCTTGATTTATGTCCTACATGATGCCAAATCACATTCCTCATGTATGAGACAACAGACTTATACCGTCTACTAGACTTTTCTTCGGGCGGTTGTTATATACCACACTACAATCCAACATTACAACCTGACTTTAAATTATCACTTCAATGACATGATATAAATTCTAAAATTCAAATACAACATCTTCAATGCATAATCGGGAAACTATGCTGCAAGTTCATTGAAGTTATGAAAATAGCAACAAATCAATAACTTGTGACGGCCAAACCAAAGATTTTGCAGGCCAGCGGGGAAGATGGAGCCGTGTACCAGTTTCAAAATCAACTGGTAAAATTCAAAAGGAATATGAAACTGAATTTCTATCATGAACATTGGACTAAGTTCATGAGAGCCTTAACCAAACCAAAGGAAAGTTAACAGACACAAATCCACTGAATTCCAACGCAAAAAGTTGTAAGAAATAGAATCTAGCTTCTGAGTCTCTGACCTGTGAGAATGAACCCGCTTCTGACCTGTGAGAATGAACCGAGGATACCATAACGTTTGTTCTCTGCAAAAAGACAACAGAAAAAAAAGGTTGCTCTCTCAGGGAGGGAAAGGCAATGTGGAGATATATAAAATCATTAATGTAGTCTCATCTACCAGTTTAAGCTTTTGGGTTGAATTGGTTCTTTACATGGTATCAGAGTCTCGTCGCGCCCCACTTTCTCTTGTAGAATTTCTTAGCATAAGTAGATGGGCTTGTGCATTGTCCATCCTTCAAGACCATTGGGCTCTGAGGGAGCGTGTTGAGATATATAAAATTATTAATATAGCCTCATCCACTAACTTAAGCTTTTGGGTTGAATTGGTTCTTTACAGGCAAAAAGCTCCTCCATTCGCCACAACTTCAGAGACACCCTTGTTTAAGTATATACTGCTGAGATTAACTATAAGACAATAGAACAGTTGTAGAATTTAAGATTCTCTAAAAGACTCTCACGGAAACCAAAGTGTTATTGCATAAGGTTTGTGAGAAAACTTTGTGTGCAACAGCTACAGCTACATCCATATTAAAAGGGAAAACAAATTTGGACTTAAAAGGAATTACAAAGAAAGCATGGGTAATTAATACAAAAAAAAAAAAAAAGCATGATTGTAAAGATGGATTTTTTTTTCCTTTTTAGTAAAAGGGAGTCCCATGGCACTAAAAAAATTTCCAAGGTTTGGGGCATGCCAAACAAAATCCAGTGCCTTGACCAATTCAATTCATGTTTTGTGGGAAGAGATGCCTGACACAGGTTAGCAATGCAGGTATATTAAATTAATTGTCAAGAAAAGAAGAAATAATTGACTATATTAGTACTGCTGTACTGTACTGTAAATGTTTATATTATTGTTGAGGATCACAAGGCCTTGGTCTGCTCTAGACATATCATGAACAGAACAGCTTAGCCTGCTGAGGCGAATCACATGCACCACAGTTTCTGTATCACGCGTCTCAGTTGTAGTAATAATAAACAAATTCCAATTGAAGCGTGCTGCCTATAAGAAAGAGCTTGGGTAGCATCCTTTGCCGCTGACAAATTGATCCTGTCCGTACGATAAAAGGGGTAGCTATTATAACTGTCCAAACAAGGAGAAAATCTTCATTATTCCTTACTACTTTACTCCTTTAGTAAAAATATAAGTAAACAAGCAGCATTAACCACAAAGAAGTTAATAGAGTAAATCTAATTAGGTAGCTCAATTTTTTTTAACTTTAATTGGTAATATAATGTGTATTCAGTATTCCACAGTGTAATGAAATTTCCCCCCCAATTAGGAACTGGCATCCGATCCAAATCCAAAAGGGAACCAAAAAAAAAAGTTTTATCTCATCATTAATTCATTCAATTCCATTCCATTGATAGAACAAGAGCAAATTATCAACTCTCCATGCTTTGTACCTGCAATGTGGTGTTTGATGCGATTTTAGCATGATTCGGCAGAAAGACCTAGCGCAATGATTATAGACGTTGATTGGCCATGTGTGTGGTAAGTTGATGCGTACGTGCTATTCAAAACACCGAATGTCCTTTGTATAAAACAACTTTACATGCATAACATACGAGTATAACTGTAAGGGTACATGATAATCAACAATACAGATTAGATACATGTATGCTTGCCCCTATCAAGATGACCACATGCTTGTCAGGTTGCCCTTCTCTCTTTTAGAATGTGAATTATACAGCACAAGAAGGTTGAAAAAGAAGTCCTGGAAATGAAGAGATGGACATGGAATGGAAGCACGCCTTGCCGGGGCTGGAAGGTGCAATTGTATGGGGCGGTGGGTCCTATGGGTTTGCTAATGTGAAATGACTGAGCTATACCGGCTTGTCATGTTGCTCGGTCCCACTTGAATTGGATATTCGATGACAATGAGGAACCCTGAGAAAATTATTAAAAAAACAAAATTGAGGAGGGAGTATGAGTCATGAGTCATGACAATGCCGGTTTCAAAACTTATTTGTGAACTTAATAGCTGTAATGTCCCGTGCACTGCGCACGTGTTTGGTACAAAGAGAAATTTGTTTGTATTCGAGAATCATGATTTTCAGTAATATAAAAAAAAGATAATTTATCGGGAATGATATAAAAAAGTTGTTTGGTAGACGTAAATATTATCGGGAATATTTAATAGTTTTACTGAGTATATGTTTGGTTGTTAGTAAAATATTACCGATAATATATGATGATTTTACAAAACTAACCTTAACTTTTCAAAACATATTCTTCAATAGGTATTGATGTGTGTTGGAGGTATTATTGTCTCAAAAATATGTTGATATGTTTTCCCTTCCTCTAGTAATCATGAAAACCATCTAATTTTTTTTTTTTTTTTGATAACAAAACCACCTAATTTTTGATAATCCTAATAGTAACTTTTCTTTGTAAAATACTTTACCGGTAAACTTTGGATATCCGAGAATTGATTTTTAATACTTTTACCAAACATAGTAATTGACGATTACCAAAGAAGGTTTACTAGTAATCCTTGTGATACCCTTGTACCAAACACACACCCTAAGTATCTCTTCCTCCCCAAAAAAAATAAAAAAAATCACATTTACGCTCGTCTCAAAGAGTTTTTTTTTTTCTGTAATGAAATATTAATGCAATTCAATTTTTTTTCGACAAATGATGGAGATGAACTGAACAATTATGGAATATTTTTTTAAGTTAAATTAAATTGGTAATTGTATCTCACTCCATATATATAGTTCCTAAACTGTAAGCAGTTATTCACATCACATAGACCTATAAAGATGATTATTTTCGGGGCAGAGACAGAGTATGCACCAAGCTTAGCTTCATCTTCATGGCTACATGACATGAGTATTTCATAATATTTTTTTTTTAGTAGACGAGTATTTCATAACTTAACCATTGCAAAACAACCATAGGTACTATTTTATGATGATTTTCGGCTTTTCTTCTTCAAAATATTCTATGTGCTCAACCTCTAATTTTCCAACATGGGGAACATGTTTTTTGTAACGAAAATATATCACCATGCGGGGAGCATGTCTACTTTTTCTTCGATACAAAGGAGCTTGTCTACTTTACCTGTTACCCTGTTTATTTTGAGGAAATCCTAAGTCCTAGCAACCAATATCGGTATAATATAATGACCCTCGACCTTAAATTAAAGTATAAGATGGCCAGTGAGAGCTCAGCAGCACATGTCATTCCACTAACTAGATCATAAAACATTTTGTTGGTCCCAACACAAAAAGGTATATAAATATTGGGTTTTATAAGAGTTATGTTGTAGTAAAAGTGATTGTGTAATGTTATAGAGATTCGTTTTGCGTTACCTTAATTTTTCATTTATTTTTTTGTTTTAAAAAGTGTGGGCCCCACAAAATATTGTGAGGGTAGGAAAATTTGTTGTGTTATGTTAAAGAATAAAACGAAAACTCATAAATATTCCTTCAAACACAATTATTGTCATTGTAGTCTAAGATTAGCTAATTAATTTAGATTTGAACAAAAAAAAAGCTAATTAATTTAGATTGTATTTTTTTTGTAACTATTTATTGTATTTTACATGGATCTGGATTCTCTCATGTGAAAATTCACATGACCATGTCATGTAGGGAATCATAATCATACAAAGATGGATCAATGTTAATAAAGGAGGAGAAAGAAAAAAAATCTTAAAATAGATAGTTTCGAAATCATAATCGTTAATTTATCTTTGTATGGTTGTGATCTTTTAACATGACCTATGATGTTATTTTACATTAGTTTGAAATCGAATTCTGTCATAACCATAAGAACCAATCATCTTCCGGGGCATGTATCTAGCGTTAGTTTTTACTTTTACACAGTTCATATTTTATATTTTTTTAAAAACGTAATTTTAATATTTTCAAATAATTTTTTTCATCCCGGGTAAACTAAAAAATGACCAAGAATGGTGTAAATAAACTCTCAAATACTCCCTTTGATAGGTGCAATACAATAAAAATAAACAAAAAAAAAATACTAACATGGAAACTATCTACATGTGTTCGATTGGTGTCTGCGGAAGACTGACGGTGGTAGATCACTATACCCAAGCAACAGATTAATAGAGAGTCAAAAAGTTGTTTATGCACAGTCACGTCTATAAGGATTATGATGTCGAAAGCTTATAGAAATGTGATAAAATATAAAGTTGGAATACGATAAAAGAGTAACTCTGTAGTTCTTAATTATAATTATTAAATAACAAAATTCAATTTTTATAATAAAAGTCATAAGTACATTTTTATTGACTAATAATAAATTGATCCAAAATTCAAAATCCTAAAAATAAGAAAAATATTAAAATAAATATAATGATAATTAACTTTTAAAAATAAATAAATAATTACAATTAAATCATTTAAAACACATATCAAATCTTATATCTTAAATCATGTCAAAGGTATTATTTTTCTTTTCTTGCCAAACAAATCATAATCATATATGTTGCTTCATTTGAACTTGGATTTGATCATAATTTATTATATTTTGAATTAATCCTTCTTTTAACAATTGAGCCATAATTCTGGTTGACTCCGGAATTCTTGAATCAATGATTAGGTCATGTGCAATGTGTCAACTATAAGTGCATCAGATTAGAGTTTCAAAAGAACATACATGTGAGGATTAACCTTTTGTAACATCCCAAGCACTGACGAGGGCGGGGAGTGATCGCCGGTGCGAAAGGGCATGGACAAGGAGCGGCTCCTGAAAGGCTTCCAGCGGGGGGTTACTTGCATAAATGAATCGAATCGACACTCGAAAGAGAGGGATTCCAAAGACAGTGCAGGTGTGAGACTGCACAGTTTGGGATTGCTTATAAGAATTAATTGGTATTACCTATACTAGCAAGATGCATCTACTTTTCGGTAGCCCGGAACGGAAGAACTCCATAGTTAAGCGTGCTTGACTTGGAGCAATTCTGGGATGGGTGACCTCCTGGAAAGTTTTTTCAGGAAGTGTGCTCGTGTTATAGTATGTGGGGATAGTCATTGATTCTTGAAGCGGCCGAATATTATTACACCTTTTATTTATAAAGTGATCTACTTGAAATTAGATAAAATTCATTTTCCAGGCTGGTGGGCTCATTATATGGGTACAAAACAATTTTACCCAGTTCGGTAGTTTAAGAGTTTGGGCTATCAGGCCGAGGTATTTATCTTTCCAATGGAGGCGCCTTAGTGGGGTCGAGCTCCTGAGGTCTTGGGCTATCGAAGTCGACAATTTGATCGTAATTTTAGTTGTCTCATTGCCTTGTGCATCTGATGGCTAGGAAGCTTCAGCGACTTTGGGGAGAGTTCAACCTTATTCTTGGTCTCCTATCTATGCGAGGTCTGTAGACCAACTTATACATCAGGTATGTATAGGGCATTGTGGTGGGCCTAGACTCCTTGGATAGGTATGGTTCCTTAGCGTGAGACTTAGGCCACCGTGGTGAACATCGCATTCTGTCTTCATGCTCATTCTGGTGTTTTAGCATTTTAGTGCTCTAAAGTCATCCCTATGATGACGTCTGATGCGTAAAATCGGCAAGTGAACCGATCGTACCAAGTAATAAAGAGTGAGTAGAGTATCGTCTCCACGAGGATTGAGGCACCTAAGTTGTTATAATTATTCCTCTCTTGTTGGATTAATCAAAATAGGTTGAGAATAATTGTAGTTCATGAAACAAACTAAAACAATTAAAGTAAAAAAATGTAAATGATTCCAAAAGTGCTTTCAGAATGCAAGAACAAAAGATTAAGGATGGAGAAAATATTGCGGTAAAGAGAAACAAACACCTTTCTGATCCCCACCTTGCAACTTGGATTACGTTTACATTTACTTATTCAATTGATCGAACAATTCATCATCTTTTATATGAGTAGTTAAGCCCTAATCCCTTAGTGACTTTAACCTTGTTAACTCTATTAGAATCCTAATCCCTTAGAAATCCTTTTTCGAGTTAACCCTTAGAATCAATGAATCTTTAACGTTCGCGGTTCATGTAGCCTATCCCTAGTGCGTACATGAACAAATATCTTATTCTTTGTCAGGAATTAGAATTCCAACATCCCTATTGTAAACCCTAACCCTCGCAATCCTACTAGATTGATCAGTTCCAATAGAATTATAGAATGAAGAACAAGAAAAGATAAATGCAATTAAAATAGATAAACATAAAATTCAACCAAGGTACAAGGGGTTCACATCAAGGGTTGTGACCCTTACCACAATGATAAAACTAGCCAGACATGTTCATGTCTGACAAAATAACATTAAAAGAAAATAACATTTAAAACCTAGAAGAGAAAAGGAAGATGAAGCTCTTCCGTCTTGATGACCGAATCCTCGAATCTCCTCGAAGCTCCAAGGAATTCCCACTCTCCTTGTTGTTTTTCTCTTCTTGGTTGTCAAAAAGTCCTTCTCCCTTTGTTTCTGATCCTTTTATTAGGTTTTGGGAAAACCTCATTTCACTTGCACTCCAATTGGGCCTTATTTTAGGTAATTCGCAGTAAAAAATATATCGCCCACGCATGGGGCGCCATGCCTGGCGCCCCAAACTTGGGAGAAACAGAAGCTGAATCTATCAACGGCGCCCCGGGCGCCAACTCTGGAGTGCCGTGCGCCATTCCCGCGCTCCGTGCGCCATCTCGCGCGCGCTGGGCGCCTGGTTGGAGCGTCGTGCGCCACCTCCCGCGCTCTGTGCGCGGCCGAAACAGAAGCAAATCGTCGCTAAGGCGCCCCGTGCGCCAGGTACCGCGCCCCGTGCGCCAACCTCCGAGCGTCGTGCGCCAGCGGGAAATTTGGTTTCTCCGTTTTTGCTCTTTTTTGCGGTGTTTCCTGCTATTTAAACATATAACTTGAGTTAGAGCATGATTGAGAAGGAATAATCAATATTTCTTGCATTTAATGACTATTTTCACACATTTATGATTAATTCCTTGCTTCTTTTAAGTTAGATTCATCATCTGCTAGACTCACATCAAACAATTTCCAGATTTAGATGTTGCTGTCCTCAACAATAAATTGAATTTAAGCATGGGAAGCAAGGTTCAATTAATCAGGCATAGCATTGCACAGACAATCATAGAGATTACTATACTAAGCATGAATGATTTCCAAGTCAAACTTAAGATGATGCTTAACACTACATTCAAACGTCAGAGTCTAACTTGATTACCCCTCACAAGACATGATATTCACTCATCACTCAGTGTTTGGGATCATTCATCATCACTCATTTCATCACAGCTGTTGTACTACCATAAGCTTGATCTTTTTCTCAAGTTCCTAAAGATGAGGAACATCAACACATGCCTGATTCATCAAAAGGGCTTCTTAAGGTTATAACTTGGCTTGGCTTAAGGTTAGAATCTTTTGGAAAGTAGCTGAATATTATTGAGATTGAAACACCATTTTCATTAATACTCAATCATCTCTCAATTCAAGTTTCAGCAACACTTTTTATTCGAATTCATGATTCCTTCCTTTTTCTCACTTTTTCCTTCATCATTGCTTGTCAATTTTTGCAATTTATTTTTCTTTCTCTTTATATTCATGTGAGAACTATTCTTTTCTTTTCCTTTTCAACTGCTTAACTTCTAGTGGAGCTTACCTCAATTACTTCTAACTTTTTGATTATTGACATTTCAATCTCAATCAAGTTAAGTTCTGATGGAAGTGGTCTAAACAGTTTAATAAGGTAATTAAAAAAATTGGTCTCAGGCTCAACATGGCTAACAATGGATGATTTCTCAGGTAGCTATTTGGCCATAAGCTTAATAGAACAAAATGCCTCTATCACTTCAATCAACACATGCATTGGAGAGAATTAGATCAAGTTCTAGAGTACCACTGCAGTGAGGACTCTAAAAAAAAATTAACTGTATAGGCACAAACCTCACAAGCTGTGGTATCAAACTAGACTCTTCTTAATTTCATTTCAAGCATCATTATCATAGAAATCAAACAAACGAGCAATCATAATCTCTATTCATGCTCTATGCAATGTCATGACAATCTTGCATATCATGCAATGCTTCCTCATATTCAACCAAGGAATTGACTGAGTAGCACATCTAAATCAGGACTGTGCTTTCACATAGCAGGAAATGAAACTAAAAACACAAAATTTCTACCAAAATGAAAAAATAAAAATGAAAATAACTAGAAAGGTTAAAATAACTCTCCTGAAGTAGCTATGAATCCGCTGAACCTTTTTCTGTGTGTGATACCTCGATTGCCGTGTATGCGGCCCCAATTCCCAGATTTAGAATATTGCCGTCCTCAGCAATAACTAAAGTAGTCGGAGAAAATACTGCTGCACAAGTATAAACATCACACATGTGAAATATCAGGCAGAAAATAACATAACCAATGTACTGGAGAATTATAACTCAAAATACCAAAGAGGTTCAAATTACCCTAACATGAACCTAGATGGTCAAACAAAGACAACGAAAATAAAACATCAAAATAAAAATTAAAGACAGATAAGGGGAAGGAAATAAAAAAAATAATAATAAAAACTCATTGGGTTGCCTCCCAAGTAGCGTTTGTTTAACGTCACGAGCCTGACGTACCCCTTGTGATCATGGTGGCTGGTAACTCGGGCTCAGTGATGACACTATACCCTTGCTCAGAATTTGTGTCCCGCCATGGTTATACTCATATGCATGTGGATAAGGATGAGGTTTCTCAGAAACTTTAAACTTAGTCCTCACATGCTTTTCCTTACCCTTGGGCTTTTCCATCTTAACATTTGGCTTGCTTCCTTCATGCCACTGATGAATTTCCTTCTTATTCCTTTCCTCAACCTTTTTCTCCACAATGTAATTGACTTGATTCTTAGGTTGAGGAGCAGGCAATGGAGGAGCTTCATTTATAAGTACTTTGAATATTGCTTGCTCTCCATCCACGCGCATTATCAACTCACCCTTAGGTACATCGATTAATGCTCCTGAGGTTGCTAAGAATAGCCTCCCGAAGATCATAGGCACACTGGCATCTTCATCAATGTCAAGGATAACAAAATCAGCAGGAATTAGAAATTTGTCTACCTTGACTAGCACATCTTCCACAATACCATGTGCTTGCTTTGTTGAGCGGTCGGCCAGTTGAACATTCATCCTAGTTGGCTTGACTTCATCAATTCCCAGCTTCTTCATCAGGGTTAATGGCATCACATTAACGCTGGCACCAAGATCACATAAGACTCTCTCTATAGTTGTCTTGCCAATGATGCATGGAATACTGAAGCTTCCTGGATCCTTCAACTTTGGAGGCATGTTTTTCTGTAGGATTACACTGCACTCCTCTGTTAATGTGACAGGTTCATCCTCTGTGAGCTTCCTCTTCTTAGATAGTGTTTCCTTCAAGAATTTGGCATATGAGGGCATTTGCTCCAGAGTGTCTGCAAAAGGAATATTAATCTGCAATTTCTTAAAAATATCTACAAATTTAGACAATTGCTTCCTTTGCTCATTTTGCTTTGGCCTCATTGGATATGGGAGTTTCTCAAAACGTGAGAAATCTCATTGCTTCTTTTGAACTGCAGGAGGTTGTTCCTTTGCTTCTTCTTCATCCTTTTGAGCTTGTTCATCCTTTCTTGTAGAAACTTCAACTTTCTCTTTTTCTAGCTCCTCATTCCTTGTAGTGATGACATTGCATTGCTCCTTTGATACTGCATCGCTCTTTTCTTGACTCCTCTCAGCTAGTTGTCTTGAAAGTTGGCCAATTTGAGTTTCCAAGTTTCTGATTGAAGCGTCTTGGTTCTTGTGGTAGGCTCTTGTCTCATTTATGTTATCATTAGTGGTTTTGGAAAGTTGTATCATCGCTTTCTCCAATTCAGATGGCTCTTTTTGTGGCAGAGGAGGAGGTTGCAGATAGTTGTTGGATTTATAATCCAAGCCGCTCCCTTGATTCTTCCTTTGAAAGTTATTTCCTTGGCCGCCATTCTGATTCCTTTGGTAACCTTGAATATTCTGTGGAGGCCTTGGATCATACCAAATTCCATTGACCTGGAATGGTTCAGCTCTATTGAGTGTAGGGAACACATTAGTATCATGCGGCTCCTTGCAATACTCACAGTTAAATATATCAACCTTGGATGTTGAGAGCTGCATCTTGTCCAGCTTGGCATTCAAACTGGCCAATTGCTGTGAAATCACTTTTTTGCTCAGCCAGTGATGCATCATTATTCCCCAATTGTAAAATTCCTTTCTTGGGCTGAACAGATGGGAATGCTGCTGCCATAGACGCATTCTCATTCCTTGCCATTAAATCCAGCAGCTCTAAGGTCTCATCTGCTGTCTTCTTTCCTATGGTGCCACCAGCTGCACCATTGACAATCATTCTGCATTCTGGTGTCATCCCATTATAGAAGACTCTGACCTTCTTTGTATCTGGCAAGTCATATTGTGGACACTTTCTGATCAACTCCTGGTATCGAGTCCAGGCTGCACATAAAGTCTTTCCTGGTTGTTGGGTAAAATTGGTGATTTCATTCACCAACTTATTGTACTTTTCCATGGAAAAGTGCTCAGCAAAAAATTTAGCCGCCAAATCCTCCCATGTTCTGATGCTGTTGGGAGCTTGTCGATCCAACCATTTGAGAGCTCTCCCGATCAATGCAAACGGGAACAATCAGAGTCTGATCGCATCGTCTGACACTTCGTTGTGTTTAGTTGTATCACAGATCCTTAAAAATCTGTCTATGAAGTCGTGAGGATCTTTATAGTCCTCTCCACCAAACTGAGTTTTCTCCACCAATGTGACGAGAGCTGGCTGGATGTCATAATTATTAGCAGCAATCGGTGGTTTGACAATACTCGAGTTTGGCCTTGTGAATTGAGGAGCCAAAACTGATTCCATCAGCTCAGCTGCTGGTGGATTTTCTTCTGCCATCTCTGTTTCTACTTCAAAGTGTGGAGTAGAATTTTCTGCTTCAGAATGTGAAGTAGAAGCTTCTGCTTGCCTCTTCTGCTTGGTATGTTGTCTTATCCTCTTTGCAGTCCTTTCTATCTCTGGATCGTAAATCAAAGTTGCAGGATCAACTGTACCACGCATAAACTAAAGCAAACAGATTAGTAACACAAAGATCCAAGCAAGAAAATCAAAAGTTATAAATAACTTGGCGTAGTCAATCCCCGGCAACGGCGCCAAAAACTTGATGCGTAAAATCAGCAAGTGAACCGATCGTACCAAGTAATAAAGAGTGAGTAGAGTATCGTCTCCACGAGGATTGAGGCACCTAAGTTGTTATAACTATTCCTCTCTTGTTGGATTAATCAAAATAGGTTGAGAATAATTGTAGTTCATGAAACAAACTAAAACAATTAAAGTAAAAAAATGTAAATGATTCCAAAAGTGCTTTCAGAATGCAAGAACAAAAGATTAAGGATGGAGAAAATATTTGAGAAAATATTGCGGTAAAGAGAAACAAACACCTTTCTGATCCCCACCTTGCAACTTAGATTACGTTTACATTTACCTATTCAATTGATCGAACAATTCATCATCTTTTATATGAGTAGTTAAGCCCTAATCCCTTAGTGACTTTAACCTTGTTAACTCTATTAGAATCCTAATCCCTTAGAAATCCTTTTTCGAGTTAACCCTTAGAATCAATGAATCTTTAACGTTCGCGGTTCATGTAGCCTATCCCTAGTGCGTACATGAACAATTATCTTATTCTTTGTCAGGAATTAGAATTCCAACATCCCTATTGTAAACCCTAACCCTCGCAATCCTACTAGATTGATCAGTTCCAATAGAATTATAGAATGAAGAACAAGAAAAGATAAATGCAATTAAAATAGATAAACATAAAATTCAACCAAGGTACAAGGGGTTCACATCAAGGGTTGTGACACTTACCACAATGATAAAACTAGCCAGACATGTTCATGTCTGACAAAATAACAATAAAAGAAAATAACATTTAAAACCTAGAAGAGAAAAAGAAGATGAAGCTCTTCCGTCTTGATGATCGAATTCTTGAATCTCCTCGAAGCTCCAAGGAATACCCACTCTCCTTGTTGTTTTTCTCTTCTTGGTTGTCAAAAAGTCCTTCTCCCTTTATTTCTGATCCTTTTATTAGGTTTTGGGAAAACCTCCTTTCACTTGCACTCCAATTGGGCCTTATTTTAGGTAATTCGCAGTAAAAAATATATCGCCCACGCACGGGGCGCCAGCCAAACTTGGGAGAAACAGAAGCTGAATCTATCAACGGCGCCCTCGGCGCCAACTCTGGAGTGCCGTGCGCCATTCCCGCGCTCCGTGCGCCAACTCCCGCGCGCTGGGCGCCAGGTTGGAGCGTCGTGCGCCACCTCCCGCGCTCTGTGCGCGGCCGAAACAGAAGCAAATCGTCGCTAAGGCGCCCCGTGCGCCAGTTTGGCGCTCCGTGCGCCAACCTCCGAGCGTCGTGCTCCAGCGGGAAATTTGGTTTCTCCGTTTTTGCTCTTTTTTGCGGTGTTTCCTGCTATTTAAACATATAACTTGAGTGAGAGCAAGATTGAGAAGGAATAATCAATATTTCTTGCATTTAATGACTATTTTCACACATTTATGATTAATTTCTTGCTTCTTTTAAGTTAGAAAACATCATCTGCTAGACTCACATCAACGTCCTAAAAGCTCCATCATTGTTCTTCAATTATCTGTCTCACATGATCAAATCCACACTGACAGACTAAACCATCTCTAAAATTGCAAGATAACCTTTTCTTTCCTTTTTTATTTAAAGGAGGAGTGTTCATATGAATAAAGGGAAGTGTTCTATCTCCTTTTTAGTTTTAAGAGTAAAAAATTCTTCCCCGTAAATTAGGACAGAAAAAATTCTGAGATAATCAATTAGGGATAAGTTATATTGATAAATTTTTTATTTACAAATTATACTATATACTCTCTAAAGTATATTCTTAAGTGAGTGTACTCCCGAGATATATAGGGTAGTTTGTAAATTTGTAAACAAAAATAAATTTATCAATATAACCCTACTCAATCAATTATCCTATAAGTTAAAAATGATAGACTTATACATTTGCACTCAAAGTCTCGCTTGAGGGATTAGTCTCGTCCTCTCTTCGATAACAAATATCCAAAACACCTGCTGTATTAATTAAGAGCTAATTTAAGAGTTGTATTCCGAGAACATTTCCTAACGGTTACCCAGCTGTGGTCGGATGAATGTAGCAGTAGTTAGGACTTAGGACTTAGTAGAAATATCGCAACATACTTATATTAAAAAAAAAAAAATATCGCAACATACCGTCCCCATCTCCTGAAGATTGTGGCGGGAAAACGTAAACAAATTACTTGGTGGGTCGTGAATGATAGGTGATAGGTCATGAACTGGCCCAGGAGTGTTAAACCATAAGTTGAGAACATAAATCATTAAAGCATAGCAAAGGAAAATACTAGTGACCAAACGTTAGCGGTCATTTTGTTGCAAGCTACGGAAAGTAAGAAATATGAAATTAAGCTTTAATCATTAAATTTTTTATTAAATTATTCTTGTTTAACTTTTAATTATTAATTGTGCTATTTTGTTATACCACAGTATCTGTTATCTATTTTATCAGAATATAATAATTGAACTGAAAAATAATAAATATTTAATTGATATGTTAGAAGATCACTTGTAATGGCCTAGTTTTTTTAGTTAAACAACGCTTAAAGTGGGTCAGAGGAGTATTATGTTCCCTATATTATGGGAAATTAGGAGCAGCCAATGAGCAAAACAATAAAATTAATATTAATAAAATTGAGAAAACTATAAAATAAAAAAACTCTGAAAAGAGGAAAGAAAAGCCCACATGCCTGCCGATTCGATTTGCATAGGTCTTGGATTAGAGATGGAATTGGGCGCTGCCGGCCCACAAGATATTGGGTTGGGCGAAAAAGAGATTGAGGATAAAGGAGAGAGGAATGAGAAAAAAAAATTCATGCGTCACTTCCTTAACAGGGTCCAGGAGCATATTGAGGGAGCGTTTGGTAGAAGAGAAAATTTTTTTTACCAGGAAAATATAATTATTAGAAATATGGTAGGAAAATTAAAAAAAAGTTGTTCGATAAGCCAAAATATTATCAAAAAAGATGGGTTAAATTTTCTGAACCTATGTTTGGTTGAAGGTAAAATATTGATGGAAAATAGGATTAAATTACCAAACTAACCTTTGACTAAATATAAAGAAAACTTTATGTTTCTAACTTTCTTTTGACACGTTTTTTTGAGAAGGGATATTTGTGTTCATTATTTTTTCTCCTACTTTTTGGTTTAATGGGGTGTAATAAGAATACTGGATGGTATTCTGAAATGACAATTTTTTTTAATTTTACATACAAACAGAGATTGTTGTGCAAATCAGAATGATAGACAATTTTTTTAAAATCTCTTACCAAACATAATCAACTTGAAAACATATCTCAACTTTTCTAGTCATCCCAAGGGCGTTTGGAGTAGGGAATTTTTTTTTTTTTTTACCGGAAAAATATAATTACTGAAAAAATTGTGAGAAAGCAAGTTTGATGGTAAAGTTGAAAAAAAATTGTTTGATATGACAAAATATTATCAGAAAAATTGGTTAAAGTTTTTGAGGTGTATATTTGGCTGAGGATAAAATATTGATAAAAAATGATATAAAATTATGAAAATAATTACTTATTAATTTTTTAATATCAATACAAATAGTGACTGTGTATGAGATTTGTCCTCCATTGATGTTCGTCATCCAAACATGTGTCTTTATCTCTGTCGTCAGTGACCATCATTGTGTCTATCCTTTAAACTCGGTGACCATCACTCCTGCATCGTCCGCTTGAGCCCTCTCTCTGCACCTTTCTAAAGAAGCATGGTTGATATACGAAGGATACGGGCACATTTAGGAGGAAGGTCCAATCCATGAAACTTCAAAAGCTTAATATCTTCTTCAGCATTTAGAGATTTTATATAGTCAATGGTGTTTGGGGAGTAAAGTTCCTTAGCTTATGGCCAGTATAGCCAGTCAAAAGTGCAGTCTTCAAACTGCAAAAGGAGAAAAAAAGAAAGGAAGAGAGATGAAGTATACAAAAGTAGAGGTTAGAGAAAGATATTTCAGTCACGTCGTCGGTTCTATTTTACCCATTTGACGGGTTATCGTACAATACTACATTCGAAGTGTATTATTGGTCTATGTTTCTCTTAAGGGGCGTTTGCTCTTAAGGGGCGTTTGGTAGGCAGCCAATTTTTTTTTGCTATGGAAAGTGTAGTATGTAAAAATAATTTGCTGTGTTTGATAGGGGAAGAAATGTTTGTCCGTTGGAAACTCAATTTGTAGTCAAGTTGTTTGCCACCATTTTATATTGTTGAACTTTGCCATTGAAAATGTGGAAAAAGGAATTGCCGACGCGGGGGAAAATGGCTCCAAGTTTTTAAGACAAAAACATCCTTAGCCCTAGATATAAACAGAGGGGTGAGAGAAAGTGTATGGGTAATTTGATAATTTTGGTAAAGATTCCCATCATTTTTTTATAATCAACCAAACATAGTT